CTACGAAAGAGTGAGTGAAAACATAACAAAAGAAAGAAAGAAATCTTCCTACATATAAGTAAATCAGAAAGCCCCTAAAAGACTATCCAACATCAAAATATTACTTAGACGAAAAAGTGAAAAAACCAGCACTTCATAAAGTGTTGAAATAAATACTTTGGTTCTGTTAGGAATTTGATACATTGATAGAGGTACCTTAAGGATATCAAAAACCTTCTCCGCAGTATATTTTTGTTCAAGACTAGCACCTTTCTGTTGAACCTTATCAGGATGGATACACAATGTGGCCTTTCTATAAACCTTTTTAACTGAGCCGGATGTAATCAAATCTGTCAGTGAAACTGGCTCCCATCCAGATTCAGGCCAAAGCACCTGTTCATCATTCCAGAAATGAAGAAGTTAGTTGCTATTGAAAAGGTTTTTATGATATCTCGGGCGATGATGCAAGAAAAGGCCCAAATTCTCAACAATTTAGGAATCAAAGGTCAAACGTCATTTTACAAGATGACAATTTTCATTTTTCTCTAAAATATCATGGTATAGGTAATTTTAACATACTGCAACAAAGAATGAAGTTAAATAGATGTGTTGTTCGAGACAAAAATTATGCAAATTCTATTAAGCTTGGAATTCCAAGTTAAAGTAAGATGTTAAAGGCAAGGAAGATGGGAAGATAAACGAGAGCAGATCATTTCTTGTGCACTAAAACACTACTATTATGCAAAATCTCAAAAGCATACTAAATGTAGAATAACATACACTTTGCAATGATGACAACAGTGCACGCATATTGCCTTCTTTCCCATACGACCAGCTCTTTATTTTGATATTGAGAGTCTCAGCAATTCTCTGCAAAGTAAAATTAAAAATAAACTAAGCCAATAAATATAAGAAGATGTGATGATGTATGGAGACAAATAAATTACAAAACGACATACAAACATGAAATAAAAGCTACCCCTAGACCCTAACACAAAAATATATAATTTAAAACACATTTTAAGATTGAAGATATACCATCAGCCAATTTGTAAAGAATCCCCATACACAAAATCCCAAAATATGTATCAAAATGCCAATGATGGATGCAAGACTACTTACACGCTTCTCATCTTGCTCCTGCTGAGTCTTACGATCGCGTTGGTTCATATCAGCCACTGCTTGTAACTAATGATGACAAGCAAAACAGTCAAATTGTGCCAGAGGGATACAAATAGAAAATTAAGCCTGAATTAACTATAAATCAGAAACATTTTCTATAAACTATAGATCTTAGCATCATGATGATGTAGGTGAACCTCAAGAGAATAAAGAGCAGTTAATTTTAACTACTTGTCAACTAGCCCATGGCTGCATAACATTATGCTCACAGTGCAGGTAATAAAATGGTGAAAAGGGGTCAACATTGGACTGCTTGTTGGAGAAAAAAGAAAGAAAGAAGGAAAGAATTCGTGGAATTTAGTGATGACTCTAAATTCTAAGGTATAGTAGATTTTTAAAATAGATAAAAGGCTTTTACTATTTACTTTTGTTTATTGTGTCCTTTTCAATAGTAACTCATCTCTATCTGCTTCCCTACTTTGTCTAGTTTTCTTTATATTGACCTTCCTTTTGCACTCACCAAAACAAAAACAGAGACAAAACAAAGCATTAAAAGAAAAACAGCGAAGTGATAAGAGGGAGAAACACAGACCGCACGCTCATGTGCTCTTTGGTGACGTCCCAATCTGGCTTTGCGTCTTTCTTCACTTTCACCTTCAACTTCCTCAAATTCTACAAAAGCAGGGGAAGCTGATGCAAACAAGAACATCATAGAAATCAGTAACAAGAACCCAAAGCTTATATACAGTCTCTACAGATGAAGTTGAACTTTAACAATTAATTACCTCCATTCATTGAAAAAAGGTCATCAAAAATGCCAGTCGCAGACGAAGACTTCTTCATGCTACTTGAGGTTCCAGATGTCCCTTGGGGTCTAGGCCCTCCTCTGTTGTTTGTCGGTGCATCAAATACTGGGTCCTGAAAATTGCATCAGTAAGCAACTACATAATCCATTGGTGCTGAAAACAGCATATTTACTAAATTTATGCTTCTCACCAAAGTTGCAGGTGCAGCCCATGACCTTGGTACACTGTTTGATCGAAAACCCATTAGATCATCTTCACTAGATCTACCACGTCTAGTGGCTGAGGTTTCTACATCTTCATGAGAATGAAAATTTGTGCGTCCAGTTGCATTGTTTTGCACCGTACCTTTGGCAAATTCCTCAAGTTCGTCTATAGAAGACACACCAGAGCTCCTTTCTGCGATCAGTTAAGGTAGTAATGAGGGGACAAAAATATTCATCAAATTTGCTTTTTAATTTGAGGAAGCAGAAAAACCTTTATCTCCCTTTGAAACTTGGGCTGACTTTGGAGGGGATTTCAATTTTGTGGAACTATTTGATGAAACACCAAGTTTTGCTCCAGCAGAATTGCTGAACTTACTGATTTGTTCCAGTTCTGAAAAAATATCTGAGGAATCATATGCGGGTGTTGAAGTTGAAGTTGAAACTGATTCTAACACCACAAAGGGGTCGTCCAATGATGAACTGAAGTTTGATTTAGTTGAATGAACGGTCGATTGCTGACGATGATTCTCCTGTGCGTATGTTCTGAACAAAAGATATTAAAATGAGAACATCCGTGTCACTCAGGTTACTTGCAAATAAAGATATTAGTAACTACATTATAACATCCATAAACAAAAAGTGTCATAAACAATGCTCCGATCAAGAAAGTCGACATAATCATGTCTGTGACAGCAAATTGAGGTAACTCATACATTTGAACAAGTAACATTTCCATTGTTATTCCAAAAGTAGTATAAAAACAATTTCACAACTGTAAATGCAGTAAGCTGACACAGCTATGAGACTAAAGTGGTGCATTTTACATGGACAGTTAGTCAGGAAACTCAAATGCAATGATTAAATGGAAATTTAATTAAATCAATTCTATAAATGACTAACTACCATTTACCAGAGCAATTTGCATTAGACTAACATAAGAAGAAAAACCTAATTAACCCATCATTTATTTGCTCAAATCATACATACCCATTATTTGAAGGAGCGCTTCCACCAAACCCAGGTATCAAATCATCAAAATCACCTCCATTCTTCCCCACCTTTGCAGACCTATTAACATTTTTATCATTCTTCACGTTCAAAGTTTGCAGTTTTTGTCTTATTCCGCTGAGATCACCTAGCAGATCATCAACTGTAGCACTCTGCTTCGGAGCCGAAGCAAATGACCCAAAAATATCATCCCCCTTCGCATTACTCTTACCAGAGCCCGGGCTCTTCAAGCCAGGCATTCCACCAAACACGTCATAGGCATCCTCATATCCATTAAACGACGACGATTTTGCATTAGAACCGGAAAATAACGAATCAAAATTGAAAGAACCTTCTGAATGCTTTGTGGGCTTAACGGGTCCGCCGAAGATGTCATCATAATCGTCCAGACCTCCAAAACTGCGCGTTTTGTCGTTAGAGCCCGACTGGAAGAGCCCGTCCTGAGCGTCAAAAAAAGACGCGTAATCGGAATTGGAATTTGGGGGAGGAGATCTGGAAGAGTACGACGACGTTTTGGGGTTCGAATTCGAATCGGCCACGAAGTTCCAGGCCTGGGTGTCGTTGGCGCTCGTGGGTCGTTTGGATGCGGCCATTGGAGCCGACTTGCCTTGGGGCTTCAACCCATATTGCTCGGTTAAGACACCAAACTCGTCCATATCAGAATTAGAGAGAAATGTGTCACAATTGAGCTTTAAAAATATCGAAATTTTGACAAAAAGAAAAAATGGGTTTGATTGAGCTATGACAGAGGAATTCGTGCAATACAGAAATCTAAAATCTGGGTTTATCTAATTGATCTATGATCTACACAGTGTAATTGGGGAACAAACAAAAAAGTTCAAAAATTAAGAACAGGGATGTGGAAATGGGGACAATTGGGGAACTTTTTAATTGGACAATCTGTGCAGAGAGAGAAAGAGAGTGAGTGAGAGAGAATTGGGTTTCAGATGGTAAGGACTAAAGAGAAAGAAAAGAGGGGCTTGGATAGTTTTCCGGGGATTTGTATGAAGATTCCGGCTTTTCTTCTTTCTATCTCTGTCGCTGGATTCCTCTCGCTCTCTCTTAAAATTTTTGAGTGGCGGACCACGGCATTTGCCACGCAGCTTCCCAAAGCCTCCATTTTTCAATTTTGATTTATATTTTTTTCATTTAAATGTGTTTTTACAAACAAAAAATATATAAAAAATTGGTTTTGTTGTTCTCCTTCTTCTGTTGCAAAATGGTACAGTGCATGCATCAAAGTAAAAAATCGAAATGAAGCTACAGGACTGAAAGTCAATTCAGATGTATTTCTAGACATTTTCACATCACAAATATACTTTACACACGCACAATTAAAAGATATATATATATATATATATTATAGTCCCCCTGTCCGTGTTGAGCCATCAGAAAAAGAAAGCGTGATTCCATTAATCTACAATAATTCTAAAAAGGAAAAATAATATAATAAGGACAACTGGGCATCCACCTCAATACAAGCAAGGCAAGTAGCAGAATGGCATCTCAACTGTTGCGTTGTGGCCCCCGATCTTGATTTCAGCTGTTGCAAAATTTTCATCAGATGTTTGGTTCATAATCCTGGATTTTAACTGCTGGGAGTCCTTGAGCAAGCTGCTGCATGATATGCATATTGAAGGTTTGTTCTCTTTTTTTATACAAGCGATAATTTATGCTAAATTAATCTAATTTACGACGGGGCTTGAATTTGAGTGTAAGGGGATTGGCTCACTGCCATGACCAACTGACATAATCCACATTTGAAGGTTAAAGCTTTTTAGAATAAGGTAATTAAATATTGCATCTAAGCAAAACTAGCACATTTTGATCATATTCATAAACCAAGAATGATGTTGGACATTGATATGTAGCTTCCACAAAGTCAAACTGATCAGAGCTTAATTTAAATTTTAAATGTAGAAAGTAGGTAAGACATTCTCATGAAAATTCATAAATAAAATAGTGTGAACTGGTGTGAAGACATTGCTTCATCATCATGCATCTAAAGCATTGATTTTATTTTTTTCAAACGCATGCACGTTTTTTATATGCAAGTTCTAGATAGAATTCTGTTAAAACTTCATTTTCTTCTATTCATGCTCGTTTGGTATACCGTATTAGATTCTGGATAGAAGTAAATAATCCATGTTAGGTGTTTGGTGTCAACTTGTGTTATTTAATTACCTGACTATTTTATACGGATTGAGCTTTTAATACTCTCCTTACCTGACTAACTAATACAATTCACACACTCCGATTTAGATAATACACGTTTAATTATACGGCTAGAGAAAAAGAACACACATGTTATTTTCATCTTCTTCTGTAAAATTGTAATCAAAGGAAGAATATTTGATTACTTGATCATTTTCTCTTTACAGTGTCAAGGGTATCTATACCCAAATTTCCTATACAATCAAGAGACTAATAAAGGAAAGCAAATCATGTACAATCAATTACATATAATCTGGCTAATCACTCAATCCCAAATATATTGGGATTTAGTTGACTTCTCAACACTCCCCCTCAAGTTGGAGAGTGAATATTGTGAACTCCCAACTTGCACACCATAGCCGAAAAATCTTCTTTTCCTAAGGCCTTCGTAAACACGTCTGCTACTTGTTACAGTGTAAAGTAGCTGGTCCTGGGTCTGGGAGTTGTAGGTCTTGTAATAGATAACGCAACCAAGTAATTTCACAGCAAGCACCTGTCATTGCACGATATTCAGCCTCTGCTGAAGAAAGAGATACTGTTTTTTGTCTCTTTGTTCTCCATGAGATTAAAGAATTTCCAAGAAACACGCAATAGCCACTTGTTGACCTTCGTGTGGTTGGACATCCCGCCCAATCTGAATCACAGTATGCCGTCAACTTCATCTCATTTCCAGCAGGAAAGAAGAGTCCTTGTCCTGGTGTACTTTTCAGATACCTCAATACTCTCATGGCAGCATCTAAGTGTGGCTTGCGAGGCTCATGCATGAATCTACTGAGTATATGTACTGAATATGTAATATCAGGTCTTGTTATGGTGAGATAAATCAGACGTCCCACCAATCGTCTATACTTTGCTGGATCATGAAGTATCTCACCTATATCAGAAGAAATTTTGGAATTTTGTTCCATGGGAAAGCTTACTGGACGTGTTCCCAAAGCTTCTCCATCTTTAATAATATCCAATGCATATTTCCTTTGACAAATAGAAATACCTTTCCTGGAACGTGAGACCTCAATGCCCAAAAAATATTTAAGATCACCAAGGTCTTTGATCTTAGAACGAGTATTAAGAAATCGCTTGAGAGCATTAATGGCAGCCAAATTATTTCCTGTAATCAAGATGTCATCAACGTAGATCAAAAAAGCA